CTAGGGAAATTCTACGGCACAATTTTGGGAACTATATGAATTTTGTATTGCAATTTTGAGACTTAAGACGACTTAAGCCAATTTCTATGATTTGTGCAGGAATAATGGATGAACATATTAAGGAACACATATATAGGAATATCTGGGAATATCAAGTAACAACCATCAGTAAACACTTGGTCATATCACGTACATCCAACTAATGATCTACCTACAGTAAGTTCAACAGGATAAAAAAAAAACGTCGCAACCAATGATCAATAGGGATCATCACATATATACCCTCTGGTAAACTAACATGGCTATTGAAAATGGCCATAGAAATAGTGAGTTTTCCCATTAAAAATGGTGATGTTCCATAGTTATTTCTACGTTTACCAGGGTAATGTGTGTAAAGCCATAGGATTCACCCCAGATTCACCATGAACGGGCCATGAAGCAAAAAGCTGGGCTCCAAACTGCGGTGGCATCCAGAGCTGTCAGAGCCTCCTTGAGCCTCGGGATCAACGAACTGCCTGGATTGGTTCAAGGGAAAAATTTAACCGGAAACCATGGTTTTTACCATCAAATTTGATGGGCTTTCCGGTTAAATTTTTCACATAATCCAATTCTATGATATTTGATATTTGTATTATTATATAGTATTATATAAAATATTATAAATGATTTATAATGTTATATATATATAAATGATATATATAATGTACTAAAATAATCCAAAATATGTGATCCTGAACGGTGGACTGTCATAATGGGATTCTTACTGACCGATGGTGACTACAATATCAATATACCCTGTTCTGTCACTGAAAAACTGTAATCAATATATCACAGGTTTCACTCGAGTGCTGCAAACCAGACACATTTGTGCTTGTAGTTTGAAACTTAATTGCGTACTGTACATGAGTTCTGTTTCCTTCAGTTCGACGCATGCATTCAACCAGAAGAGCCCCACAAATAGCTGCATAGTCTGCATGGTGCATGATTCTTCTTGGGCGTGCACCCAGCAATCTCTTGCTGCTTTTTGGCCTGGCGATTTGTTCATCCAGATCTGTACTTGGTTCGGGAACAATCTGATTGCTGGTTGTATCGCAAATCGAACATACAATTGATGCTGGTAGAATCATTCGTAGATTGAATAGCTAATTGGCTAATTGATGCTAATTGGGTATACTATGGTATACTGGGAAATCCCATAACAAACCAACCACAGAAATGTCACCACCACTCAGGGCAACCGATCACGTTTTGTTTCTTTTCCCACTACTCAAATTCTCTTATATCGCGAGCAGCCTCATCATGCTCGCGATGCTGGATACTGTGAATCTACTGCACCCTTGGCAGTGGACATTCCAACTGGCAATCCAATTCTAGATACCTGTCACAGTTTGCAACATACACATCCGTCATCCAGCATCATCCACAAAAATAACAAGTAAATAAGTAGGTCCCCCTCACGGGTTGATTTCTATTTTGTTGCTGCTACAGTAATCGTATTCACATTCATGCCCGGTTCTCAACCTCCTCATCAAGAAACTTCTAAAGAACCAACCTCCACCCTTCTGTGTCTGTTTTTTTTGGACATTTGATTGGTTAAATGCCCACGTGCTTGGTAGATCTCCCAATCTCTTGCTTCAGTCAGAATATGTCAGATTGAATGGCTATTGGTCGAGCCATGGGTCATAAGTCATAATCCCACAAAAAAAAAGTAACACATCACCATATATCACCATTATATTAACAAAATCCCCAAGTTTGTCGCTTAAATAATCCCCATGTTTGTCTGGTCAATTAAATCCCGATGGATACATTGGATACATCTACATTGACATGTTTGATACTTAAATCCCCCAAAAAAATCGTCCCTACTTTGTTGGTTCAAAAAACATCTTTTTTTTTCTGGTGAAATCCCAATTCTTGATAGTTACCATCTGGTTGTGTGTGACTAACATAGCCATGGAAAATCACCATTTTTTAATATTTTTCATAGGTAAACCATCTATTTCTATGGGCCATTTTCCGCGGCAAACTGTTAGTCATAACCAGATGGTAAACTCCAAATTTTTGTAAATTTCTCCCTCCACATCCATCACCGTCACCCCAAAAAAGAGTCCACGGAGGTTGACCTGCTTCTCAGCGAAGGATTCGGGGGTCACCAGGCACTCAGCTTCCCTGGGATTTTTCATCGTCCAACCCTGGGTGTCATTGCATATGTGCAATATATTTCTATATGAATGTGTTTTGCACATGTAAAAATTTACAATATGATTTTCTATGTTTTTCTATGATTTTATATGATTACACTGAGTATATTTGTATATGTACGTGTGTGCATGTGTATAGGACAAAAAATGGAGTTCTGGGGGGCGTACAAATGCTCCTCCAAGTCAAAGTCAAATTAAAATCATCAAACCTTCAATCATGTGGCTGGGAAACTCCTAAATAGTTCTTTGGCTCCCCATTTAATCAGGATTATGGATACCCATCGCTCGTTTAGCTCCCTCCGAACCGATCTTCATGGACTCCAAATGCATCCAAATCTAAATGTTTGATTATTAAATCCTTATTTTTAAATGGTTGTATCCACATGTCCAGCCAATCCCCCCCAAAAAAAGGTTCAATCATGTTATTTCTTAAATCCCCATCTTTGACGCTTAAATTACAATTTATTATGGTGAAATCCCAATGTTTGACGGTTCAACCCCCCATTTGTGCTCGTTCAAACCACCATGAAATTCGTTCCAAGTCACAAGCTCTTGACAAAGTCCAGCAGGGCGCCCATCTCAGTCTCAAGGCCTGAGCAAAACAGCGATAAATTCATTGTTTTTTTTCTGGTGATTTTACATTGCAAAAACATGCCAAACATATATTCCAATATGTTTGATTTTATATGCCAAATATGACAACATACGCCAATATCAGGCACTTTTGCTTTTTATTCTTAGCTAGTTAAAGTTGGAAGACATTGGAAAAAACGGTGAAGTGACAGCAACTGCGCAATGCCCAGCCTTTTTGACTCGACAGTTTCTCCCCTAGTGTCGAATCGGGCCTTTTCGAATCTGCATGGATCTGCATTGGAACTAGGCTCCCAAGAGTGCACACCAGCGCTGAAACACTGGCTCGACTGACTGAACATGAACATGGCACTCGGGCCGACTGGGATCAAACGCATCAAACAATTTGTTCACATAGGCCACAACGGAATGCTCCTCAAAACACTCTGGCGTCAGCTGGAAATCCTTCCAAGAGACGTATTGCTTCTTGGTGCTCAGTACCCTCAGAGGTACGAAATGCTCGTATTTTTTGGCAAACTCCTCCATGAGATCAAAATCGGGCCTCCCAAACAATTTGGTTGCCATTTCTTCCACAACTGCCGGTGCCAAAAACCCTGTGATGCTGCCATGTGGATCCGTCAATTCTCCCTTTACAGCCGTGGTTGCTTTCTCAACAAAATCTCGCAGATTCAAAGCCCCCCAAGCCCTCGGGCATGGATCATCAGCATGGATGTAGTTGACAGCGCGTTCCCTCGCAAAGTCCTTGAACTGGCTGGCTTTCTTGGAGCTGCCCCCAAAAACCATGGGAGCGCCGAAAGTGATACATTGTATATCAAAAGGAGATAGAAGTGCGTTTCCCTGTTGAATTTGTTTGAAAACCCACAGCAAGCATAGCTGGGCATGCATGCCACCAACCGAGTGTCCTGCAAAAGCAACTCTTTGCACACCTTGTTCCCTCGCAGCGACCAAATATCGTCTCAAGAAGCGCCATTTCCAGCCTATGATGTCCAGCATGGCCCTGCTTGCCGTCCTGTGGACAACAAATTCTTCATCCTCTGCTGAAATGCAGTCACAATCCAAGTTCCAACTCCCAAAATCAAGCATGCCACTAGTGACCCTGAACACAAGGAACAAAACCTTGCCCACAGGCAAATCTGCAGTGACAATTCCGATCTTCATTGGCTTTCCCAGGTCCGCAGGCTGGAGGATATCATGGACGCGAAATGAGGCATTCGCCATCTTGGGGGGTGTTTTGTCACCTGTGTAGACCCAGAAACTGAGCATGGCTGCCACCAGTTCTACAAACTGTGGGCTGGTGTGGACATCACTCGTGTGCAATTCGAGGTCCAAAGTGGGCGTTTTGCCATCCAACAGGAAGATCCTCCAGTCTTCTTCAGGTATCGACAACAGCTGGCCATTCACGGAGCAACTGGACAGAAAATCATCGGAATCAAAGTATGCCTTTCGTGTTTCGGGTCGAACATATGAAAAGCGCCTTGTCAACGCTTTAAGTGATGCTTCATCATCTTCATCCACCATCAAAGTCTGGCCCCTGCCATCGAGCTGTGCCAACTTAATGATGGTTGTCTTCTGGTGAAAACCTGGCGAGATGCAGGATCAACCACCAGGATCTTCTCGAAATCAAAGGGCAATGCCACCTGGCTTTTGACTAAACTACTGGACCTATACAAATCGAAATCATTGAAATCAACGTCAACATCCCATCTGCTGTCTTCAGGCAGGTCGATGGCAAAAGCTTTCCTCGATGCAGGATCTACCACCAGAATCTTCTCTGCTTTCTTGGGTACTGCCACAACCTGGCCATTCACGGAGCAACTCTTGCAGAACTTTTCAGGTCCATCTGGGCTGATGCCTGGTGGCAAATCAATGGCGAAAGCTTGGTGAGATGCGGGATCGACCACAAGAATCTTGTCAGCATTATATGGCACTCCGACCACGTGGCCATTCACCACGCAACTGGAACCGAACTTCTCCTCTTCTGTTGGACAGATGCCTTCTGGCAAGTCGATGGCGGAAGCCTGCCGAGATGAAGGATCCACCACCAGGATCTTCTCAGCATCATAGGGGACTGCAACAATTTGACCGTTCACCACACAACTTGATTTGAATTTCTTGAAACTGTCTTCACCAACGCCTGAAGGCAGGTCAATGGTGACTGTCTGCCCTGGTGCCACTGGCAGATCCGGCAGACCACTCGTCCCAAAAGCCTTTTTTGCCGTTCTTTTTTGCCGCGTCTTCATGGCTTCAGCTCTACCTATCACGATACTTTCCTTTGAAGCCAACTGCAATGCCACTAACACATGTTTCATTTTTCCACGCAAGAAAAAGCAACCGAGCCACTCTGAACGACGAAATGGATTCAGATTTCGTCTCTCTAAAGCTTCAATTCTGATCAGAATTTCCATGATGCTAGGATCGTTGGTCATGCTTGCAAACGTCGGCAAATCGCCCAGGAAAACCTTCTCCTGCCCGAATCTTTCTGCATTTTTGTTGAGCACGCCAAACCCAACAGACTTGTCCCAGTTGGACTTGGAGATGGGTTTCAACACACATTCACTTTTGCTTCCAGTCTTCATTCAATGGTGCCGATCTGGTTATCAAACGGCTGGAATTGAATAATTCGGAGATAGTCTGCAATTCAGGCGACATCTTGCGAGTTCCCTTCTTTAAATCCATCTTGTACATTTGAACATGGGTTCAAGCTGACATGACACCATCTCATGACTTAGATCAAAGGATCCAGATTCTTTTTGCGAGACATTGACAATCATTATGTTCATCAATAGCAAGAACAACTTGCAGATCTGGGTTTCCAACTCTCTTGATCAGAATTGAGGCTGTTCAGCTCTGAATCCAACCTACCAGCACGCCCGCCAAGGGCAAGTCTGGACAGAATTGAGTCCGTTGATCTCCATAGCTACCAAAAAATCAGAAGTTCAAGGGATTTCAAGGGTCAAACTGACATTTATTGATGTGGAAACACGGAGATGATACCTCAAACTCTAGCAATGGTGATGAGATGTGATGAAACAAAATTCAAAAACAAAACAGCTGAGATGGATATTGGTCATTTGATTTGTCTTAGACTATGACTATCACTGACTATCATCTAGCATACTACCACACCCTATTCCAAAGTAGCCAAGTTTAACCTGCATGTCTTTTCCAAATTTGATGGCCTCTGGGCTTCCGAAGTCTTGTAGCTGACGTCCTTCTCCTTCGGCAAAGCACAGGGCACGCCAAGAATGAGGATGGCTTAATCATCAACATTGGGCTGATCTTGGATTCTATCGGGTTAAATGGGCTCCTTAGCTTCCCCCAGATCCATAGCCAGGTAGGCAGGTTTCGTCAGCATTTTGTGTGCGCACTTTACCTAATATAGGGAAATTGACACACACCAAACATGGATTTTTTCACGACTAAAAGTGACAAGTGTCGTCCATGCTTGTTCGCTTGACAAAGTTTCACCTGTAAAGGACGAAGGGGGGTTTGGTACCCTTCATTGCCTATCACAAATAGCAGTAGCGGTCTTGAAAATTCATCAAGAAGTGGCGCAAAAGGACATTTATGGTCCCAGACCCAGAAAATGTTCAATGAGTCATGCAACGAGTCGCAATTGGTTCCCCTTGTCCATGACAAGTTAGCTCATGATTTTACATTCAAATCTATATCTCTCTCTGCCTATCTGTCTATCTGTCTGTCCGTCTATCTGTCGATCTGTCTGTCTTTCTGTCTATCTATCTCTCTATCTATCTGTCTATCCATCGAATATCATATTATCTGAAGCCATATCTATCCAATTATGTATGTAATATATTGATCTATCTCGCTAAACCTCATCCAATTCAATCCATGCAAATCAATTCCAAACCTGTAGATATATATATATATATATATGTATAGTATATTTATACGTATATACATGTGGTATGTATATATATATACATATCCATGCATTTATGTTTAAAATCCTTCTAAAAGACTAGCAATCATGAGCAATCCATTATCCATCAGTTTAGTAATCATCCTGTACAGATATATTCATTTACACTTGACAAATTTCCTCCATGGATCAACTCGGTTTGATTGGCCAACTCCCCAATGAATGGCTTGCTAAGCAAGCCATTCATCCACCAACCAAGCGCTTAATGGCACTTCTTCCCATGTTCCATCGTGTTCCATCGTGTTCCATCATTCACATGTGTGAACTCGCCATGTTTAATGATTAATTTCCAGTTTTTAATGGTTAATAAACTCGAATGTTTCATGATCAACACCCTAATGCTTGCAGTATTTATTACTGTCCCATGTTGAATAGTGAAATTACATGAAATTACTATGTTCAATGGTTAAATCACAATGTGTAACGGTCAAATCCCAATATTCAATGATCATGTTTTTTTCATAATCACAATGTTTATGTTTGATGGGTAAATCCAATCTTTTCAACTTAAATTGATAAAGTCCACACTTTTGAAAATCATGGATGGTTGACTCGCCTATGGGAAACTTCACCACTCCTTCTGCGCTTTCTCCAGCTTCATATCCTGCAAGTCCCTGTCGAAGTTGGTCTCTGCCTCCAGGATTTGATGCATGGATTTTTCTGTGGATTTTGATGGATCCATGATCTGACTATGTCTGAGAAGAGATATGGATGCAGCTGCACATTGCGTCCTGAAAAACGCATCGTGCAAACACGGTTACTGGAGTCTAAAAGAGAATCAAGGTGATATACGGTGTATAGATTTCGTCAAAATTGGTTTCTTCAGCAAATGAATTTCAAAGAACGACAAAGCTCTCAGCACCAGGCAGATTTCTCGGCTGATCGCCTTACAACATGTGTGCATCCAGGAGTGTGAGATTGCAGCCATCGCCCAAGTGTTTTTCTTGGGTCAAAACATCACATGTATCGCATCTGAGCGACTCTGAGCTTCAATTGGATTGTTTGAGCTCGGGAACCCCAAATCCAGTGGCAGGTTCTTACTTCCCCGACTACAATTGCAATCATCACATGTACCCAGTCCTGGACCCACTTGTTGCATTCTCGGTAGTTACTGTGACTTCTGGGGAGTGTGGTTTATGTTTGGACACATAGCCTCAGAAAGCAAGAATGATCAGTGACTGACCGAAACAAGCAACTGCAATCAGCTTTCTGTTCAGTCAAAACCCACAACGACGTACTTAAAAGCAAGCAAAGTATCTCTTGTAAACCTGGGGTATACCGCAAAATACCTACCAGAATCCATACACATAGTGAAGCATAGTTGATCCATGTACTTTTACTGAGGATCATAAATGGGAGGATACCAAATGAAACTTCCCCACTGGGTTCCCCAACATCTGGGACAAGCTCATAGCCATGTCAGCCTCCACATCCTGGAACGGAGGCCATGGGGAACACCTTTCAAACACTTGGTGTCCTTCTGGTAGTGAACACACTTAGAGTCATCTTCTTTTCCGGACACATTTAAGTCTCTAGCAGGAACCCCAGTGAAAATAGGCGACCTATCGGCAAACGTGTCAGTCTGTTCTGAAACTTACATTAAAACATGCATCAATAACAAATATAACAAGGAAATCGAGTCATTCAGATTATTCACTGCCCCATAGTCATGCAAAAATGTTGCAACATGACCACGTTGCCATTGGGTCAATCCATTGAGTGCCCAGGAAGTCTTGACCCAGCTATATATAATTATATAATTGTTTGCTGGTTGCATTCCACATGCTGGTCCAATTCATTCTCACGATATTGAACCATTTCGGCTGCCTGATAGTTCGCAACACATTCCTACTTGAAGTAATTGCATCATCATAGTATATATAGATATATCTATCATTGTCTATCTACAGTTGTCAAAACCATTCTCCAGATATTGAAATACCCTATACCCTCTGGTAAACTAACATAGCTATGGAAAATCACAATTTTTAATGGGAAAACCCACTATAAATGGCCATTTTCAATAGCTATGTAACAAATTACCAGAGGGTATATTTATGTGCCACCTACTATCACCATTCCCACATGACCCACTTCCCTTACTGTGGAGCTGGCCTCGAGCCGGCCAATCACACCTGCGGCAAGTGATAAACTCCGGCTGGGTTTGGCTGAACATCTTGGGGAAACTACATCCCATCCATTGGTTAATCATCCTGATCATTATCCTCTCCAAAATGGCCATGGAGCATTCTAGCCCATTTTCAGGCATGACATAGATTTTGATGTTGGTCAGTGACAAACATTGATAGATCATTGATAGATGGCATCACAAAACGTGAGAAGATGAGAACAAACATAGGGATGTCCCGAATGAAACATTGGACATTATGATTACTTTTTGAACGAGATGCCTGGATTCAAATTGAATAAACCTATCCCTCCGACAGACCAACATTGAACCTCCGAACAACCATCCAAAAGGAAGCTGGTTCCTCAACATACAACATGATTGTTGGAACAGAAATGCATGCTGCTATCATTTTTGTAATGGTTGGATCTACATTGCCAAAAGAAACTCTTTCAAGCCAATGATGCCAAAGTTGATGTATGTTGACTCAAAAGAACACAGTGTCCGATGTCATACGTACTATATGAAATCTATATGATAGATGTTGATATTTGGTGCGTCAACCATTTGGGTCCATTTTGTCATTCTGCATATTCTTGCTGTTTACGAGTTACCAATATATCGAGTCTCCAAGATTTGTGCTTCCGAGATCATCATTCAAGCACACCAAACTACATGCCATCGCCTCCAGCAGCACCCTTGCGCTCGCCGCTGGTCACCTGTTCATGGTGTCGCTGGGAGGATGTTTGCGCCTTCAAGGCGTGGGCGCCATCGGGTCCAAATGGTCTCGTTTCTTTAGCCTTCATACCCTCTGGTAAACTAACATAACTATGGAGAATCACCATGTTTAATGGGAAAATCCACTATAAATGGTCATTTTCAATAGCTATGTTAAATTAATAGAGGGTATCCCCGGCCGGCTGTTTGATTGAAATTTTGGGAAATTTTGGGCCCAACTGCCTGCACACCAGAGCCCTTGTAGAAGTCTCTCAGCGTCCTGTCGCCATGATTCCGGTGATGGACCCCCCAGATTCATCCCATTTTTTTTGAGGTCTTGCAGCATGAAACATCGACCCAAACCTATGTGGAAAAACCATTAGACAGGACCAGGGGCTCCTCAACGCGGACTTCACGCCCTCCATGCCCTTCTCGGTCTCGGGCTCCTTCTTTTCGAACCTGGCAATCGATCACCCCATGGATTCCCAAGAGCTGCTGTGGTTCAATGGATTAGGAAACTCTTGGGTGGATTAGGTGGATTGGGTCGTCAAAATTTAGATGGTGATATATGATCACGATTGTAGCAGCCCACCCATGCTAAACCATCTAAATCACCATAATTCCCAGCACTTTACGATATATCCACCCATATTATCCCATATTAATATATGATAATATATGGATATATCTTGGGATAATATGGGTGGATATATGGTGAATAAATATATATATGGATATATCTTGGGATAATATGGGTGAATATATGATATATATATATATGGATATATCATGGGATAATATGGGTGAATATATGATATATATATATATGGATATATCTTGGGATAATATGGGTGAATATATGATATATATATATATATGGATATATCTTGGGATAATATGGGTGAATATATGATATATATATATATATATGGATATATCTTGGGATAATATTGGTGAATATATGATATATATATATATATGGATATATCTTGGGATAATATGGGTGAATATATGATATATATATATATATGTATATATATATGGATATATCTTGGGATAATATGGGTGAATATATGATATATATATATATATGGATATATCATGGGATAATATGGGTGAATATATGATATACATATATATATATATGGATATATCTTGGGATAATATGGGTGAATATATGATATATATATATATATATGTATATATATATATGGATATATCTTGGGATAATATGGGTGAATATATGATATATATATATATGGATATATCATGGGATAATATGGGTGAATATATGATATACATATATATATATATATGGATATATCTTGGGATAATATGGGTGAATATATGATATATATATATATATATGGATATATCTTGGGATAATATGGGTGAATATATGATATATGATTATAGTGGATTTTCCCATTGAAAATGGTGATTTTCCATAGTTATGTTAGTTTACCAGAGGGTATATCCCATGTTTACGACATATCAGTCCTTGGTAAACCATCCCTCCCACAGTGCGATCCGAGGAGCAAGTCCTTTTCCTCCTGACGAAGCTTGGTCATGTTGGCCTGGCCGATCCCAACAGGAAAATAGGACAGTCAAGGACAGTCAAGGACCCGTTTCACAAACAGAAATCAACTCCGAAATTAGTCATTGGGTTAGGGATAGATAGGACACTCCCCCAAATTTGATGGTTAAGCAAATCATGTTAATCATCATTTTCCCTAGTCGAATGCCATAATTGGGAGGTAAATCCACCACTCTCATTGGGATCAGCATCCAAGGGCCTGCGTCTCGGCCAAATCAGCCAGCTCGGACTTGATGGTGGCCTAGCATGCACAATTTTTCTTGGCTGTGCGCCAATTCTTTGGGTTCTTTATGTGGTTCTTTTGGGGGGAACAAAAATCATAACAAAAACACCAACATAAAATTTGAAGTTCATGAATTTTGAATGATTTTGAGTATAAATCTGCAGGAATATCATAATATCCGCCAAGAATTTGGAATTACTCGCAGGGTATCCTATGATAAAAAACATATTAAAAACGTCACTGGTTGCAGGAGCTGCCGACCGCTGAGTCGCCGTGCCACTTGCTTCTTGAGGGAAGCCGACTTGGAGACCGCAGCATCAATGCGGGTGCCTTGGTGACATGCGACCATAGATCCAGCGCTTTTTGATTGGTTATACCATAAATTGACCCACGCGTTTTTAAGTTTCTGCTTGACTTCTGGAATATCTTCCAATCATATCATCATGCAAAGACCATCTGGTTATTTAACATAGCCATGGGAAATCACCATGCTATTAATAGGTAAACCATCTATTTCTATGGACCATTTTCAATTTTCAATGGCTATGTTAGTCATAACCAGAGGGTAAATCCTGATTTCTCTTTCATTTCCTTATCCTCACCATGCCCACCATTCCCAAAAAACATCTGTGGGGCGTCCCAGGGCGTCCACACTCACAGTCTCCAGGTCAGACTCTTTGGAGGATTTCTTGTCCTTGGCCTTGCCCATCTCCGCGTCGCAGTAGGCCTTCTTGGTGGTTTCAGCCTGGGGAGATGATCCTTGGGCCCCATCAAGACCTACGTCTCACCAGGAATATGTTGAGCAAATCCACCTTTTCTGCGATTCTTCCCTCAAATGAAAACACAGAAGTTCAAAGCTATAATTTCAATGACTGTCGGAGAATCTGATTGGTGGTCTCTCAGCAGCTAACAGATTGGTGCATTGCATCGGCAAAAATCGGGTCTGGTTATTCGTCACGTTATTCTCCCAGTATGATATGGCCAAGCCTCCTTGGTAATCCCATCCCCGGTCAGATTTAATATTGGGGAAACTAATTTTAGTGACACTAAATGCTATATTATATTACTGTCTAATGGTACTAGACTAATCATTGTTAGCCATTATGTTATTGGGATACTAATTCTGGGGGTACCAATTATACTAATGATATCTAATGATTGGATCTAATGTGATACTCATTAAACAAATATCACCATGGGATATTCTCCATGGTCACTTGTCCACCTGGAGGTTCTCCTGCATGGTTGTGATCATCTCTGAGATCATCCTCAGGGTCGGTCTCGCTGTTTGTTTTCTTAGGGATCTGGCTGGGTAATGAGTTGGAAATTTCAAGGTGGACTGGCATGGCTCGCACAAAATTTATCAAACATTTGAGATTTCAGGGTGGGAAATAGTTTAAGATGCCGAATTTTAGCATCAACAACAATGATTTCATGGGATTGAATGGGGATACATATAATTGTGGGATATTTTAAGCTTCCTTTGGACCATCTCTGCAGCCAAGTGACGTCTTGATCTTTGCAAAGACATCAGCACTGGAGCCAGCCTGCAACGGGATCTGGGGATGAATTTCATGGGCCTCCAGGTCATAGACCTTGACCATTTTGGCCGCCAACGCATTCCCCATTTTTTTGTGGATTCATCAAGGCATTTCATGTCTGACCTCATGTCTGACCACAGTTTCGCCGAAACCATCCACCGTCAACTGCGAAAAAGTAGCCTTGTAGCTTTGTCAAGAAACAAAACTGGAGTAACTCAGTGTATCCCTAGAATCCCAGTGGTCTACCCTTTAGAACTGCGAATTATCGGCTGGTTGTTACCACATTGTTATGGTTTTTTAATGGACAAAGCCATTGCCATTTTCCTTGTTCCTTTCGGCTAGATCTCCATCTAGGCAGGTTAAATCCTAATTTTGACTGGTCCAAGTCCGTGTTGGCTAGTTAAATCATGTGACATCTCCATTTTTGACTAACCAAAATCCCAACTTTGGCTGGTTGTAAAGTGTTATAATCGAAATCATCACCTATAAAATCTTACAAAATGGCTATATAGTTGTCAATTAGCTAGAACTTGGCTGGTTGGACTAGCTAAATCCATCTATCAGCAATTCTCCACGATTCCGTCACTGCGCTGACCGCCAGTTTTTCCCCACGTTTTTCCGGACCAGGTCCCTCCCCCGCGCCTCCCCGCGAAGCATGGAGTCCATACGCCTGGGCCAATCATGGCTGGAAATCCCCTCCTGGGCATTTCAATGGAAAATCATGGATCCATGGTGCTGGTATATATATGTTAGCAGCTAACATAAATGGGCTAGATTGATGGGATATGATGGGATCCATGGCACACCATATATGGCATAATTACATGGATCCGTCATGGGAATGGAAAGAATGGAAAATCATGGAACATGTATCAATGAGGGATTTACGGCGCATTGCGCCATGATTCCTCTAGCGCTTTGACTCGTTGGATGACATCGTTGGATGGCACCCACATTTCGTCCCAGTCGTTTGCCCCGGCCTGGAGAGCAGCACCAACTGACGATCCTCCAACTTCTGGCCCAAGGCACGCACCATGCGCACCACCTTTTTCGACAAAGCAAAGCTGGGATATCAACTCCATTGATGATGGGAGGTTGTGAAATATATACTGATATAATCTGATATACTACCGGCATGAGGATTTATGTAGTATCATCACGTTGCATGATATCGTTCGAATAGAGCTCTTAATATATATATATATATTACGATTTACCAACATTTCAAAAATGGATTTAGAATTCAAGTAACTGTACCTTTCCATCTTTTCTTTTGGGGGGAGGTTGCCATAGGAACTTTTCCGCGCCTCAAAGTGCTTCAGGTCCAGCGTACTGCGTATCACTGACCTGCGGCAAACGTTGGTTGGAGCGGCAATGCAGTGTAGAAGAGAACATCATCCATATTGATAAGTGAACTTATACATTATATATAAAATTATAAAATATATATATATATATATGATTACTATATATATATATAATTTTATAATCAAAATATAAGTTGTTATATATATATATAAGTGATTAATGTGTACATAAGTGTATAGAAGTAAGTTCCCAATCAGTTCATACAATTTCATTATCACAATTATCACATTGACAAGTAATCAAGTGGTGTGAAGTGAGTTGATCTGCCCACTTGGTCATAACTCACAACCAAGACTAAGTTTGGAAACAAACAACACCAACATGCAGGACTGCCAACATCCAGTGTGTAATCGAGGGATATTTTTTTGGGCAACTACAAAACCCTCTGCCGATAAATATAACGACATCTAAATATCTAACAACAAATTAAACTTAATCAGTACGATCATGATAAGCAGAACCAATGCCTCTCTTAATGTCAGTCAAATGCATTGAAATTCGTAAATCCACTCGGCTCTCCTTTTTCTCCCAGATTTGCACGGAACTGTGCAGTCTCCACCGTTGCACCGTTGTGAAGGGTAGCGCCGCAGCTGTCCCAAACGCCGCGGCCCGCAAGATACTCTGGGCGAAGAACTCAGCGGTTGTCCCGAAAGCGGCCTCTTCGCATGAAGTCATTGTCATCATCGCCTCCTGCGGTGCAAATGGATGCAAATGGCCTGGATGGACTAGTGAGTAACATATTTCACAATGCTCAAATCCTGAAATGCCATTTATTGGTGAATAGGGAATCCATGAAGCCCCTCATTCTGATCATCGCCAAGATATGGGGTTGTACAACCCTCGAACCAATCATCAACCAACAGGGGTGTCTAATGCAGCCGCTGCTCAATGGCTCAATCTTTTGGGGGGTACCTTGGTGGCCAAAGAACCACCTCGTCACAATTTCTGATATGCCAAAGTTCGACACCTTCAAGAAATGCCACTGGATTCACATCAACAATAAGGATACTGAATTACATCTATCTCTTCCCAGAGCAACAGTCTTGTATGGAGATGGATCAAAACCCATTCTACCATGTACCATATGATACATTTGGGGATGACCATCCATTACCCGCTAGTTTGATGTTCACCAGGGCCCCCCTGGTGGCACCTGAGCCAAACTGCGTGTGCGAGCTGCCGCCAGGATTGATGCGTCGCACGTTGCTGCCAGGCCCACTTGGGCCCTTCGGGCCGGCGCCCTTGTCGTCTTTGGCAGGATCCAACGGCATCAGGATGGTGCCAAAGAAAAGCCTGGGCCAACTGTCCAAATTCTCAGAAAGTATCAGTTTCAGTCGGTGTTCATCTCCTTTGGTCTATTGAGTCTGTGTCCCAAAGACGCGGAGCCAGGAAAATCCTCAGTCCTCAATGAGAACCTATAATTTGTCAATATATGTGATAATGACATCTGCTACAGCATCATCAACCACAATGTACCACTCGGTTTTTTGTTGCACCTTCAATGGGCAATTACTGAGGTCGTTTGACTTCAAATATCTTCGCTACAATACATGGATTATCAAGGCCTTGGGGGAAGGCTTGGTGGAGCCTAGGGCGCGCTAGGGCCATCGCTAGGAGAGCTGATGCATCCACGTCACTTCAGCACCGCCAACAGCTTCTGCCACCATCGCTGCAACATTGCCATTGGACCAGAGGCCGAGCCGCCAGTGCTTCCACCCGCGCGCATGGCGGCTACTTCGAGCTGAGCTTTGGCCAGTTGGGGATCAAGTTTCTGCACCGAAACGTGGTACGTCTATTTAGATTGAACAGCTGCTTCTTGACATTAAAGTTTGCAGGCATTCTTGCAGGTTGACCAAAACATATGTTTAGTTTGGCAATTGGATGGTTCAATAGCATGTCCAGTCAATTGCCAGGTCAAGAACTCTAGTTCAGTGACACGTTTCATGAGTCCATGCGCCTTGAGTTTTCGCTTCTGCTTAGCTTGTCGGTAGGCAACCAACAGACCGGCAAGCCAAAATGCGGACGTTCCTCAAACATGTTCCTCAAGTCAGAAGTCTGCATGTGATTTTCACAAAACATGAAATAGTTTGCCAGCAAAAAAAGATCATTTTGGAGTTATCATCTAAACTATTGGGTTTCACCACATTTTTTTTTGCTGAACATCCCTCATCATCCCACGTTTGATCATCAGGCCTGTGCTGCTCTTCCTCAAGCTGCAAAAAGGATAGGCCTCTCTGGCTTTGGCTGTGGGGGTGCGTAGCGCAACATTCAACAGTACTGGGAATGTAACCCAACAGCAGGAATAATAGAACCAAACGCTTTCCACAAGTTTCAGCATATGATTTGAAATCTGGGCAAAATTAAATCGCGAGCCACACATGTCACAACTATAGAGACCTTGACGATGATATTTTGCTCACAAACAAACATATTTAGGTGTTACAACCAAATTCATAGAAATTCAACCACATTTTCCCGTGGTTTTCCCATGATTTTCCCATCAAAACCATCCATTTTGCTCACAGATTTCCCACCTGAGGACTCCTTCAAGGTCGCAACGGCTGCCTTCAGGGCCTGGTCGATGATCTTTGCTGTGATAAATTGCTGAGTTTCAGGATGATTAAGGTACATATATAAGATCATATAATGAAATATAATAATAGAATATATTATAATATATTATAATATAATATAATATAATGAAATATAATAATACATATATATATATACATATATATATATACATATATATATATATATATACATATATATATATATATACATATATATATACATATACACACATACATTTCTGTAATCATCCCAAGATTGGATTCCAGTCATCCAAGCTTTGACTTGTTTATTCAAGAATTGTCGCGATTTCTCGCCAGATCCAAAGAGGAGCTCCTTTTGTCCAAGCCAAGTGGACTATGGCCTTGATCTGGAGTATACCCTCTGGTAAATTAACATAGACCCTGGCAGATAGGGGTTGGAAGACTAGTTTCCATTAAAAATGTGCTATTTTCAGGGTCTATGTTTATTTACCAGAGTATAGATTTCACACAACGCAATCAGTTTGAAACTCTGCTCTGGCTGAAATTCGGTGTCAACAAAAACAACGTAAATTGGATGCCAAGCCTTTCTAGGCCACTTGGGAGCGATCATAAAATGAGCGGCCTGTGACTTGATTGAGTGCACCTGCCTGAAATGATCAGGTGGAAAGTCTGTAAGACAACACTTGTATCAACTGCACACGGATATCTGGACCTGCGATGGAATAAACATGAAGAATAGAGTAATCAGTAACACGTCTTTGGAAACAATAACATGCTTCGAAGAAGAACAACAAACATCGGCAAACACTATTCATCTTTTCTTGGTGTTAGCCTTATGTTTTCCAACCAAGATCTGTTTTTTCTGGTGCCTCCAATTCCAGTCCTCTGCTCTTGACAGCTTCATCATAGTCTGCCACCTCCCAGCTGCAGGATGGGGATTCCCCATAAAATTCATGGTTACCATTCCCAAAAATGGATGGTTCATGGATGGTTATTCTCCAAAAATGGATGGATGGTTATTCTCCAAAAATGGATGGTTCATGGATGGTTATTCTCCAAAAATGGATGGTTCATGGATGGTTATTCTCCAAAAATGGATGGTTCATGGATGGTTATTCTCCAAAAATGGATGGTTATGGATGGTTATTCTCCAAAAATGGATGGTTAATGGATGGTTATTCTCCAAAAATGGATGGTTAATGGATGGTTATTCTCCAAAAATGGATGGTTAATGGATGGTTATTCTGGATGGTTATTCAAAAATGGATGGTTAATGGATGGTTATTGGATGGTTATTCTCCAAAAATGGATGGTTCATGGATGGTTATTCTCCAAAAATGGATGGTTAATGGATGGTTATTCCCCAAAAATGGATGGTTCATGGATGGTTATTCTCCAAAAATGGATGGTTAATGGATGGTTATTCTCCAAAAATGGATGGTTAATGGATGGTTATTCTCCAAAAATGGATGGTTAATGGATGGTTATTCTCCAAAAATGGATGGTTAATGGATGGTTATTCTCCAAAAATGGATGGTTAATGGATGGTTATTCTCCAAAAATGGATGGTTAATGGATGGTTATTCTCCAAAAATGGATGGTTATGGATGGTTATTCTCCAAAAATGGATGGTTAATGGATGGTCTCCAAAAATGGATGGTTATTCTCCAAAAATGGATGGTTAATGGATGGTTATTCCCCAAAAATGGATGGTTAATGGATGGTTATTCTCCAAAAATGGATGGTTAATGGATGGTTATTCTCCAAAAATGGATGGTTAATGGATGGTTATTCTCCAAAAATGGATGGTTAATGGATGGTTATTCTCCAAAAATGGATGGTTAATGGATGGTTATTCTCCAAAAATGGATGGTTAATGGATGGTTATTCTCCAAAAATGGATGGTTAATGGATGGTTATTCTCCAAAAATGGATGGTTAATGGATGGTTATTCTCCAAAAATGGATGGTTAATGGATGGTTATTCTCCAAAAATGGATGGTTAATGGATGGTTATTCCCCAAAAATGGATGGTTAATGGATGGTTATTCTCCAAAAATGGATGGTTAATGGATGGTTATTCTCCAAAAATGGATGGTTAATGGATGGTTATTCTCCAAAAATGGATGGTTAATGGATGGTTATTCTCCAAAAATGGATGGTTAATGGATGGTTATTCCCCAAAAATGGATGGTTAATGGATGGTTATTCTCCAAAAATGGATGGTTAATGGATGGTTATTCTCCAAAAATGGATGGTTAATGGATGGTTATTCTCCAAAAATGGATGGTTAATGGATGGTTATTCCCCAAAAATGGATGGTTAATGGATGGTTATTCTCCAAAAATGGATGGTTAATGGATGGATGGTTAATGGATGGTTATTCCCCAAAAATGGATGGTTAATGGATGGTTATTCTCCAAAAATGGATGGTTAATGGATGGTATTCTCCAAAAATGGATGGTTAATGGATGGTTATTCTCCAAAAATGGATGGTTAATGGATGGTTATTCTCCAAAAATGGATGGTTAATGGATGGTTATTCTCCAAAAATGGATGGTTAATGGATGGTTATTCTCCAAAAATGGATGGTTAATGGATGGATATTCTCCAAGAATATGGGAAACATAGGGAACTTGACGGAACTTGACCCATTCCCATCTTCCAACCACTGGACACTGCCTCGGACTTGCAGTCCAAAGAGAAGTCACCTCATGGCGGATCCAGTACTGGCTGTGATGAAGTTGCTAAAGCCACATCTCTTGGTAGAACTGTGTAGTATGATTTAGTATGATTTAGTATGAATTTAGTATGATTTAGTATGATTTAGTATGATTTTAGTATGATTTAGTATGATTTTAGTATGATTTAGTATGATTTAGTATGATTTGATGTAGTGTACGGATGTATTTGTTTCTTACCAAAGCCGAGTTCCGGTGTTCATAATTACCAAAGCCGGGCTCTGATCGGAAATACCATGGGACATTCTTCCAGCAGGAAGCCAACAACGCACTATCACTATGCACAAATCAGCTGTGAAAGATATGATGCGAAACAAATAAAATCTGGAACACATAATTCCAGATCTAATTTAATCACATGTTTGATGGTTGTGATGGTTTCCTGTTCCTGGCTCTCCTAAGTCCTAACAGAAATATCCAGAACTACAACAAGAAGATTCCTATTTTCAAAAAAAAACATCCTGTCGTATTCCATGCTCCATTTCTTCCACAGAAATGCCCACCCAAACATAGTTTGGGGCGAACTGTTTTCGTTTACAAACAGGAAATGAGACCTTCCCTCTTATCGCTAATCCTTAAGTGAGAATAACAGTAAATCATAGTACAATGATAGTATGTAATAGTAAGAATAAACATAATAGAAACAATAACAATCACAAAAAAAACAACAACATATATCATCATCATCATCATCATCATCATCATCATCATCATGATCATGAACATCCTCCTCCTCATCATCAGCAAAGGTTTACTCGGGCAGTTTGCCCCAAATCCCGTGGCGCATTGCCATCAGCTGGGTCCCTGCGCTCAAAGTCTTCTCATCTTCTGCCAGACTGGTCTTTGTCTGCTGCAAATCCTCACCGTTTCTGCCCCGTTTGATGAGTAGTTTTATATAATGGGCCGATGGCTTAAAAAATGTGGGTAAAACAATGTCATGTGTTTACCATCCTCCAGTCATCACCATGTTTATATATAGGTGGTATGTTTACCATTCCCAAATGGGTGGTTTATTATTGTTTTGCCCACATTCGTTTTAATTACTAAGTGATTTAGTCCGGATCATGAAAACGGATCAGCAAAATCAACGTATGAAAATCAACGGATCAACCAACAAGTAGAATGGGAGGACAGAATATATTGGGAGCTGCGAATCCTTCAATTAATTGCAAAGGATGCCGCTCACAATTTCCGTCAGTTTTTTTTGAGGGGTGTTTTGCTGGACATTTAATGCAAATTACTATGGGGATATTTTCTAGATAGAAACAGTCACGTCAAAGACTCAAGGAACCAACTTCAATTGGGTACCATCGGCAGTTTTTGCAACCCAACCTCTCTTTGTCCTACGCCTGAAGGTGGCATCAATTCTTCAACGCATCCACTAACTAGATTGCTTTACCAGTAACAATCTGGTGATTTACCAAGCAATATGTTTTGTTTTTTATCAGATCTAATCATGATTACTCATGATTTCAGCACTATATCCCAACCTTTAGATCCAACTAATCATGATTACTCACGATTTCAACCATCCCAATCTTTAGACATAAAATCCAGCTAATTTTCTATCTCTGTTGATGAATTTCCTACATGTTTAGTGGCTCGGGTCCTTCTCAGCTTCGGCCTTGATGCGCGTCTGCTCCGCCTCGAGAGAAAATCATCAAAGCATCTGGTGGGTACAGAATATATCAATCATAATGATACTGATATATCATGATATATCATGATATATTATGATATATTATGATATATTATGATATATTATGATATATTATGATATATTATGATATATTATGATATATTATGATATATTATGATATATTCGGAAATATTATGATATATTATGATATATTATGATATATTATGATATATTATGATATATTATGGTATATTATGATATATTATGATATATTATTATATAATATTGATATAAACTGTGATATAAATGGTGATATAATGATATGTAATATATATATATATATATATACATATGTATACATATCAATTGCGAGTATATGATCCAACTGTTGTTCATTTGAACTCATACTATTAATGAACATATGATCAATATGATTGATAATGACTCTATATGATCATACTTGGGATTTGTTCTCAATCTTGGCCAAGATTGTAGTTTCTGGTTTGAGCAGGGAACATTGCAAGCAAAGAAAATCAGTATCATTGTTGTTTTTCCTATAACGAACTGTACTCAACACAAACATGTTTAGCTTCACAGTCTATCTCAACCCCTGAACGTGTTGAAATATCAGGTCAAGTCACTGCTGACCCGAAAGGTTGAGGCCCCAGGACTGAACAAGAATGGAGGTTTCCTAAAATGGATGGTACCCCCAAATCATCCATTTTTTGCCGGATTTTCCATGAAACCAGCTGGGGTAGGAGTTACCTTCATCAACTATCCAGCGCACCTGTGTCTTCTGTGTCTTGGCCAACTCTTGCTGTGCAAAGCTAATCTGATCCTGAGCCAAAGGCTGGAGATATTAGGGGACCGAGCAGGGAGAAATAAACATCCAGCTATACCACCTATTTTTAAGAGCACCTGGAAGGTCCCCGGGTTTTGACTCATAGCATCAGCCATATTGCAAGCAAGACAAAAGAAAATGGTAAAATGGACGCAAGGGGTAGATTGTGACCATGAAATTACTTTACTTCGTGTGATCCCCACCGTGACATTTTTACATTTTCTTACTGGCAAATCTTCTGGCATTCTATCTGACATATCTTCTGGCATTCTATCTGGCAAATCTTCTGGCATTCTATCTGGCATATCTTCTGGCATTCTATCTGACATATCTTCTGGTATTCTATCTGGCATATCTTCTGGCATATATTCTGACATATCTTCTGGCATTCTATCTGGCATATCTTCTGGTATATCTTCTGGCATATCTTTTGGCATATCGTCTGGCATTCTATCTGGCATATCTTTTGGCATATTATCTGGCAAATCTTCTGGGATTCTATCTGGCATATCTTCTGGCATATGTTCTGGCATTCTATCTGGCATATCTTCTGGCATATTATCTGGCAAATCTTCTGGGATTCTATTTGGCATATCTTGTGTCATTCTATCTGACATTCCATCTGGCATATCTTCTGGCATTCTATCTGGCATATCTCATGAGGTCCGGCAGGGAACACTGGGCGCGGATGGTCGCGGTTGAGGTCCGGCAGGGAACACTGGGCATGGATGGTCGTGGTTGAGGTCCGGCAGGGAACACTGGGCGCGGATGGTCGTGGTTGAGGTCCGGCAGGGAACACTGGGCGTGGATGGTCGTGGTTGAGGTCCGGCAGGGAACACTGGGCGTGGGTGGTCGTGGTTGAGGTCCGGCAGAGAGGTCCGGCAGAGAACACTGTGGATCGCGGGTCGCAGTTGAGCAAGGACGACAAGGATGACAAGGAGGACGAGGAGGAGGAGGACGAGGCAGGAGGAGGCGGAGGAGGAGGAGGAGCAGGAGGAGGAGGAGGAGCAGGAGGAGCAGGAGGAGGAGGAGGCAACTGACATAAAATCTAACAACCCTCACCTGGCAGGTGGGGAATAATGAAATCATGATTGTTTCTCATGTTTGCAGGTCATAATCGCCAGTAGATTCTTACCCAAACAAATATCAGCCTGATGTTCACCAACAACGATTCAGACCCAATATTGGCATACTTTGGCTTGCATCCTATCCGGGCAAACAACATGTCCCCCAATCCCAACCATCATTGCCATTCTTACCCCTAAAATGTCAACCACCAGGTATATACCATAATATACCCATAATATACCCATCATGTACCCATAATATACCCATAATATACCCATCATTTCTGGGTGGTCATAAGTTACCCGCTTTCCCATCCATCATCCGTCCGCCTGCAAGGATTGGGTCAGCATCTCATAGCTATGTTTGGCCTCCGTCTCCTTGCTGCGAAGCTTCGTCAGCTCCTCCTGCTGAAATCGAGCCATGAAATCCTGGAGGTACTGATATGGATAGGTAGATGTGATGCGCATCTCAGAAACAAACATGAGGAATTCATGGCAAATCTATAGAGTACAGTACTAGTTGTACCAACTTAGTTGTGAGTCGACGATTACAAGTGATGTGGTTTAGACCAGCAAACACATGTTATAATGGTGATATTGACCAATATAGATGCTTGTCAATGCGCACCACAAGCATCCCTCATACAACCACTGGAGCTACATGAAGATGGGTCAAAGTCGATCCCTTCAAGTTTCTTGGGGATGAGACCACATATTTGGCACCATTTGTATATACATATATTATAGGATAGGAGGTGTTCAATGGTCCCATCTATTATAGGGTCTTTATTTTTTGCTATGGTCCCAACTATCATAATTCTGTTTTTTCATCAACACCATCTATTTAAGATAATATGAATGGGTACTATATGGTACTATGAAACCCAGGTATATCTCCACATTTTTATGGTTTCCCAACTAGGAAAATATGTGGAGATCGACATGGGAGGTCTCTGCTACGATGGGATTCATCACCTTTCCTGCCTTGGTCTTGTCCATCATGTCCTCGAGCATCTCCATGATACCACCACCTCACGTATATCTCACGATCATCAATTCCACAAAAAAAATAGATATTTGCTAATATGATCTAATATGTAAAATGTATGTGTATATATATATGTATATGTATATGTTGATATTACATATATCTATATATATGACATATATATATATGCATATATGACATATATATATATGTATATATGACATATATATATATATATGTATATATATATATGACATATATATATGTATATATGACATATATATATATAACATATATATATATATACATAGAGTGAACTCCAAGTTGTGTAACGAATAATTACCTTTAACAAAATATTGCAGACTGCGCACTGCGAGGTGTGCTGTTTCAAGAGGACACATTTCGAGATATGCACAGTGGGTAGAGTGGAGGTGAAATCAGGAAACCCAACAGTCGGAGCACATGTTTGTGGAAATACATGACAATACGTAGTGACGTAGTGGCTGAATAACTAATGACAATATAATAGTATTTCAATAACTAATAATATAACAATAATAACTAATAATATGACAATCTCTAATGATAACTATGATAATATGACAATAGAGAGCGTCATTGTTCATCTCTTTACGAAGAACACCATCAATCTGGAAAGGAAAAAAACCGTCGTTTACGTCACACTGACGATTCTTTACACAGAAATAATTGGATGTTAAATCATATAGAAAGAAATTTAAGAACATCAAATACATTTACAAAGAACATCAAAATCTGGAAAAGGTGGATATTTGATGTTCATATGTCATAAATTGTTCAGTCCCAGGTCCCGCAAAAGGCTGGACCATTGTCCATCTTGCTACCATGGCACTTTTGCTCTTGTAGGCCTAGCATCAAAGGGGTTGGTGCTTATTCCGCTGGGGAATCACTACATCTTCCATTGACATCCAACAGCTCCTGGAAGCTTACAAAAGCCACAGGGTCAATCTGGCACGTGATCTCCCCCTTGAAATGTATGAGTCAGTTTGATTTTTAATCTGACTATTGGAGCATGGAAATTGCGAAATTTGAAACCACCAAACATCTGTTTAATATGTACAGCTAAATAAATCCCCTTTGTATGTGTTTGTCTGAAAATAGAGTGCCCGAAAATCCCGTTGCTTAAAACACCAGTTTCTGCAGTATTTGAAACTGTTTGAGGGTATACTCAATTTTCAGACACGCGCACATATCAAGTTCTGTATATATCCCCAATCAATATATCCCGATTATGCATATATATATATATTATATATATACACATTTACATATTTATCCCCATGTTGGTGAAATCCCATATGTTCAATCCAACCAAGTGCCATCTCTGCAAAATCTGGGACACCCAACAGGCGCCACTGGCTGCAAGTCTGAATCCTGGTGGATCTCTCTACGCGGTTTCAATGGATTCATGTGGAACCAGGCAGATTTACCATAGGAAACCATAATTTCTATAGGAAACCAATGAAAACCACATATTTACCATGTGTTTCATGTCATTCTTGGAAAATCCAGATGCAATTTGTCGAAGTGTGGCGACGCTTCGGCTTGCTCAGTGATAACGCGAAGTATGTGGCCGCAGCCTAGTTGCGATACTCAAGTCAGGTATTATCATTACCAAGTTGGAGATGGTACCTTTAAGTACCTTTCAGCAATTTTCTAAGCCATTAGTGGCGACATTGTCGAAGCCTGGATGGACAGCCCTAGGCCCGGAAACAACTGCTTCAAGCAGTTCTGGGGCAGTTGGGGCGCTCTCTATTGGCTTTACTATTACGTATAGTAAAGCCATCTATAAATTCTATACATCATCATTTAATACAAACCAATAAAGATGTATAGAATTTAATACAATTCTATTACCCATCAGTAATACATCATCATTTAATACGTATAGTAAAGCCATCTACAGTAAGCCTCATGGGTATTCGATATCCCTCAAAACAAGTGTTGATTTGTCTGGCCAAACCACCCATCCATGCCGGTTAGGTCCTGCATCAGAGAAGTCAAGGTCTGGGCGTCCTTGTGAACAGCGAACCAAACTGTTCTTGGTGAAATAATCCATCTTCATATTATAGCCAATAGAATATGTTTTAATATATAATATGATGTCTCGTATATATATATATATGTGTCTATAAGTTGTGTACATATAATATATATATATATGTATTAGATGTATTATATATATATATGTGTCTATAAGTCGTGTATATATATATTATATATATATATGTATTATATATATACATATATATATATATACTCCCTAGATATACATGTCCAAACATGGCAATGTCCTCGTGGCCAATCATGGATGCATCCACCATGGCCTTGCGCCATCCGATAAAGATGTCAGCCATGATCTGGGGACTTCCACCCATGAAATCGTGGGTACTTGGAGGGTCAAAGTATGTATATATAAATATATCTGGTTGGTTAATATACGGTTAATATACGGTTAATATATGGGTAATATATGGTTATGATGATGGGTAATGATGGTTAATAATAATCTGGTTGGTGGTTTCAACCAACCCCTCTGAAAAATGATGGAGTTCGTCAGTTGGGATGATGACATTCCCAATATATGGAAATATGGAAAAATAAAACATGTTCCAAACCACCAACCAGATCTATATAAACCAAGACCAGGAAATGTAATGTAGCCTTTGCAACAAGCTGTTTACATATGTAGATATATGTATTCAATGTATTCTATATGTGGAATATCCTAGACCCACACACTTAGGAGTTTCAAGATGTTTCAAGTATTCAGCCACAAGAGATGGGGGTCCATCGACTTTGAACCATGGCCTCTGCATCCCATCAGACTTGTCAACTCCAAAGCTGCATGATTGAAGTCATAATGTTGAAGCCCCCAAAATAGAGGTATACCCAAAAAATATTCATAATGTTCATAAACCATCATAGACCCAAATCATAATGTTCATAAACCATCAGAGACCCAAATCATAATGTTCATAAACCATCATAAACCCAAGTCATAATGTTCATAAACCATCATAAACCCAAGTCATAATGTTCGTAAACCATCATAAACCCAAGTCATAATGTTCATAAACCATCATAAACCCAAGTCATAATGTTCATAAACCATGATAAACCCAAGTCATAATGTTCATAAACCATGATAAACCCAAGTCATAATGTTCATAAACCATGATAAACCTCTATTTGGCATGTTTATTGCTTGGGCTCCATCAGTCGGGACCCGCCTGGACCGCCTGGAGAAGGCTCGGCACCTGCCGGCTGGCTTCAGATGAATCCCAGGTGGAATGTGGGCCAAATGGTCCCTTAATAAATAAATAAATATATATATATATTATATATGTATATTAAGTATATATATATATCATAATTATATATAAATATTATATATATATATAAATTATATATGTTCATTTATGTATTATGTATATAAATATATAGGTATCCATACGTGTCCTTAATATTGATTGAAATGGATCTGACTCCTCTGCGAGGTGGCTTCACATGATGCTTGAATCAGTGGTTCCCATGAGGTCAGCACAAGTTTCTGTGGTACGGGTTATCAGCATACCAACAAGTATAGGGGATATAATATATATATATAGGGATATCATATCTTTGGATTATATATATATATATCCCCAATAATTCAATGATGATTTAGGGATTAGGGATATATACGGCCGTTTAGTAAACGACCCACCAAGCTAGTCATTTCACAGGACATGTCGTTGGACGCCTTGAGGTTGACTCCCTTGCCTTGCACTTGGAAGAGGGCGCCTGAGGTGGAGATGCCAACAACGGGTGATATGTACTGCAAAAGAAGTCGCTTGTTAAACGCTGGCTAGGTGGTTTTCCATGGTTTTCCGACTTAGACCCATTTCCATATTTTCCATGGTGTACAATGTGTACATATGAATTCATATTCCTGGGTATGTATGGTCAATACAGTTGTTTCGCGTGCTTTGATATCCCGACAGCAGATCATTTTTGAAAACGATGAAACTTGGTCTCCCGCTGCCCTTGCTCTCCTCCTGGCCAAGAAACATCAAGGGATCAACCAGGTTAAACCCACCACTGGATTCCAACAATAATCCAAAAACATCCAGAAAAAATGCACAATACTTGAATTGCTTAAGGAACACACAACAAAAACGTCCCTGAAATGATGGATTTCCGATTGGGAAACAAACAAAAACACGTCAAACTGCCAAACAAAGCCAGCAATATATGAAAGTGAAAGATCGTGATAATTTGAAAATCATCCAGTTTCTAAGTGGCTCGCCAAGTCCTTTATCCATATCCAACCTGAAGACTTCAAACATCTTCAAACAACGCTCAGCTTCAAATGAAACCAAGTCAGCTGGTGGCGCCTTCTCCAAAACAGAGACGGCACGCTCCACCGTTGCAGTAACCTGGAGAGCTGTCAACCCAGGAACTGTAAGCATGTGAGCGACGGAATGGAATTGGAGTTTATGAACTTGTTGATGTGTCCTGTTCTGCAAGAAAACTCTCTGACACATTTTGTCTGGTTGGTGGTATACCCCGGTATACCTACCCCTCTGAAAAATATGAGTTCGTCAGTTGGGATGATGACATTCCCAGGATATGGAAAGTCATAAAATTCCATGGTTCCAAACCACCAACCAGTTGTCCTTGGACACGAACAAATGTGGTGTTCCAATTGGTCAATATCAGGGACTGATGATTTCAGCCTGTGACACTGACCCCCATCCCTTGTAGACGATTGAAACCAACAACCAAAAACAGGGTAGCCATGGGTACCACCAAAGTCTCACCTCCAGCAACTCCTTCTGAGCATCAACGAACTCCTTAGCTATGCACGAGATGGGGAGATGTGTAGTGGGAAGGGCACCTTGATGGTCAGTGATGAGGTGCCATGAACATGTATGGAGCGCTCCTGTATGATTTCAATCATCATACAAGCAAAAACAATACAAAGAACGGAACAAAGAAAAACACTCATACTCTCGAACAACTCATTGGGAGTCTAACGAAATATTCCAACGGCAAATGAAACCCTGCAGAAGTATATGGGTCGAACCAAAAGATACAACAGGGTTCAGACCCACTAGTATTGGTACCCCAAATCCAATGGTTGAAACATCATTTGTCCTCAGTAAAATGGCACTGTCAGGGTATCCCTCATTTTCAAATTGTTGGTTATATCATACCACTATATACTGAGTATATATATATATATTCCACGAAATATCCCCATTATATCCAACTATCTCCAAACATACCCATTTTGTTTCCAAATACTATGTACTTATTTTGATGCAACCGTTTATTCAAACACCAGTTCCATCATTAAAAAACAACTGATAAACCAGTTCGGATGTTTATTCATTTTGAATTTTGATAAGTAAAGTTCCATCAACAATTTGTGATGTATATCATACACCGTTATTTCTTCCCTTCACAACGATCCTATATATATAATACACTATCATCCATTATACCATTGTATGATTTATAGCATATGCAATTTATAATATATATATATATACATATGACTCTTATATCAAATCATTTATATAATAAAAAATAATATAATACATATACTTGGATTTGCGCACCACGGGGCGCCACAACAATAAAACATATGTTCCCTTCATCCATTCGCCCGTTCTGGTGGATGTCCCAGTAGGCCGACGGGTCGCGGCACTCTCCTTCTTGCGCACCTCGCTGGCGGCCTGTCCAGGCAGCTTGGGATAGGCCATGATAGGCCAAAAAAGGTGGAACAAAAAGACAAGAAATGCACTTTTAACCAATAGAGAATTTAGATCATAAGTTATGAAAGAGAGTTTAGATCTACGTCCACCATCTTTATGTATAGTTCAAACCATGTTCAAACCATGTTCAAACCATGTTTGACCCAACAAACCAATGGCATCCAATGGCCACTTAGCAGACCAAGAAATAGAACACATGTTGTTTACAATGTTTATACCCTGCTAAGGACCCTGAAAGAAAGGGGATTAGGAAGTTCAAACGAATGGAGCTTGTAGGGATATCTTGGTCATCACGGGATTCAGCAGGTGCAAACTGGATGCTGACCAAGACAAAAGATGCGTATTTCAGTACCAAAATCTGTGGTTCTGTTTATGATAGTGAATCTGTAGTCAATCTATACCATAGCTATACAGTCAATCTGTGGTTCCCTGGGTCTAAGTTTGACCCGTAATGTTGCATCCTGATTAGTGGCTAGGTTCGCTATTGTGCCAAAAAAATCCAAATAATTATTCTGAACCCATGCATTGTTTGGCAGGTTCGCTATTGTGGCAAGAAATCTTTGGGGGGCAATTTGTTTGTCCAAAAACATGTTTGTGTAAAAAAACTGAACATTTTTTCTGAAAAGAATCAGACCGCTTATTAAACCCTGATAAAAGAACAGTTTTTCCACAAATTTCCAAGGCACTGGGCCATCAGATGGTCCAATTCACTTTAGTAGGTTTGTTCACAGGCTTCACAAGTGCAGCAAACTTTTCCAGAGCTGATCCTTAAGCCAAGAGAAGAAAGACAAGACTTTTACAAAAGCAACTTGTTCTTTCTCTTTCTCTTTCCCTTTCTCTTTTCCTTTCTCTATCTTTTCTCTTTCTCTTTCTCTGATCCTTTCTCTTTCTCTTATCCTTTCTCTTTCTCTTCCTCTTCCCCTTCCTCTTTCTCTTCCTCTTCCTCTTCCTCTTCTTCTTCCTCTTCCTCTCTCTCTCTCTTTCTCTTTCTCTGGTTCCCTGTCTCTTTTCTTTCTCTTTCTCTTTCTCTTATTGCATGGTTCATTAAGAACAAACTTAAAGTGGAAAAGGTAACGAAAACAACATTCTGAACACCACTCACTACAAGTACTACAAGTACTACAAGTACGACAAGTACGACAAGTTCATCGGCAATAAAAAGTGTTAATTAGATTTCAGTTGTAGCCAATTGAAATCCGTACTTAGGTGTAAATTATTTTTTCATGGGAAGAACATTTTTGGCGCCCAAGTTTGAAGTGGGTATAGCTATTGTTGAGGGGGGGGGCCTTACACTAATCAGGACGCAACATTACCCTGTCTTGGGTGCCTTGAACAAAATATCCTAAAATGAGCCGGGTCTGCCATGGCCATGGATAGAATCCTTGCCCATCGCCCTGAACATCCCCGAGGTTTTGAGAAAATTCCCTGTGTATCTGTATCATTATGAATGTATCGTTGTATCAAGATAAATGTTGTTCGATATCCCTTCACCAATAGGTTTGGGAGCTGATTTCCATTTCTTTTCCGGTCAAGTCATAAGTTTTGGAAGAGAAATTAGATCTACATCCACCATCTTTGCCAGATATCTCCACCTCCCATCCCCACAAGTCATAACTCGCAGCCCTGACCTTCAGGTCCGCCTCGTCGCCTCCAATGCTTTGCTGCGTCTCCTGGATGGTGGAGGTGGCTGCCTGGCGTTTCAAAAGAAAAATGGTCGGAATTTTCAATAGGGATGTCAGGTGATTTTGCACCAAGATTGGGGTTGACCTTCAGTGATTTTTCTGGATATTTTTCTGGATTGATCCTCCAGAGCAATGTTGAAGCCGTATTGTGACACTGGAAACGCCGCTTGACCAAAGCACTAGTACGAGAGCTCAGACCTTTGCACAGAACATGTCCACTTTGGGTTTGTGCGGAGGTGGGATATATACAGAATACACCAAAAAATGCAGTTTCACTCGTTTTGCGGGCCATTCCCCAGCTTTCAACAAAGGAATAAACCCTACGACTCTACCCCAAAAGTGCGACTTTGATGTGGATGGCAGCCAGTGGATTTTGAATGCTCTGCCCGTCGACGGATCGCGCCTCAGCCTTGCTATCAGACTTGCTGATGCGAGCACTCAACTCGTCCGCATCTGTCTTGGCGCTGTTGATCTGCAGCGAGAAATGTTTCTGACTGCTGGGAGCTGATGGGTGGGTATACCTGCTGATTGTTACGGGGCTAAAGCTACTGGATGCTCCTTGAGGCAGGTTATGTAGACAAATTTTCAACTTGCTGTACATGCTACTGAGCCCCTGCTTTTCGAAATGGAAGGAGCACACAAACAAAGCCAGCAGTGCTTTCAGGAGAGGGTTTTCAACTCACATGGGTATGGAGTGGAGTACCAATAAGTACCACAAGGGTGGAAACACAATAACGGGCAACACATGTTTTTGTTGCGCGATTGCGCACTAAAATGTACTACAGTCATCTAACATGTACTGTACAGAACCCATCGAAAAGAGGCATCAACCAATATCTCAACATATAGCAGCCGCAAGTAGGCCTGATACTCCAACTGCGCGATCCTGTCGACCAAGACCCACAGTTTGCGACAACATGGTTGGTTTATGTTGGTTCGTGTTGGTTCTATATGAGGCATGTCCATGCATGTCCTGTGTCAATTGAATAGTCAAGACTTGAACACCAATCACCACATGTACGGTTTTCCAACAAAGTAAGGGGCTGATTTTTTTGTCGCTCCTCTATTGGCAGATTGGTGCATATAATTTCTTGGCAGGACACCCTAAGTCTGTTTGCCGTTATTTTCTGTCAAAATCCAATCGTCAACCCGATGTAATTGCCAACCCAACAACAATAGCGTTCCTGCCTCATTTGGAGTATTGAATCATGATGCTTTTTAGATATCCAACAGATCCTATTCACATTGGGGGAACACAGTGGCTTCAACCACACCACCGTAGAATTACAACTTAGTGGGTTTGTTTTGAATGTTTTTGAGTCAGATCATACCTATCATACGAGTACCAATTTGACACAACATTCCCACCTTCGGACACAACAAGTCCACCAGACTTCTAACAAATCCAAAGTCTTGGGTGTACACAACTTTTGGCAAGGACTTTCGAAAGTATACTCTGATGATAATGAACACTTGTGACTTGTGACTTTGACAAGTTAAGAGCTCAATCACAAGCTCTAAGCAACAAAGAAAAAACTGTGATTGGAATTGCTTGGATGTCAGTGTGACATGACTTCCACACAGTGGCACAGGTATATCCGACCCACAGCACAAAGCTAGTCATGTTCACTGATTGGTGGTTTTGGCTATTTCAACAAGAACAATGTCATTGAGGATCATCATCCCAAATATGGAGGAAACAAAGAAAACCATTAAATAGTTTAATGTCGTTAAAGGCATCTTTGGCTTCGTCCCATTCATCAGTTTTTCAGAGCGCCCGCCTCTTCTCGCACATGTTTGAGTACTCCGTGATCTTTTTCTCCTCAGCCTTCGAGAAAAAGGAAATCATGAACCCTGCCGCCTGAAGCCCTCCTGAAGCAAGTACTTCAGAGGAATTGAGTTCTACTAAAGCAGACGGAACAAGTAAAGATTGGCGAGCCAGATCCACAGAAGCTGAGATCATATTCCGGACTAGTTCAAAAATGCTGTCCGAGTAGGTTTCGAAGGGGCGGAAACGGTTTCGACCCCATCCACACTACAACTTGTCCCTCTGTACGTCTTTCATCCAATCTTTACATCCAAAAGTTTCCCGTTTGTCGGAATTTATATGGGGTTCTAATATGAACATACCATAATACTTGTCATTAATGTTCATTGTCATTACTGATTGATCAATCATCAACATTATGAAACTAATCATCAGTATTTTTTCCCATTGCGTGGCCTTCCCTTCCGCCCCTTCCGCTCCGGCCTTCCCTTCTTCCACGATGCTTCCGGCCATACCCTCCAGCAAGCTGATCACCTTGCCAACCTTGGAAGATGCATCTTTTGATCAGGTACAGTACTGTAGAGCTTGTAAAAAAGGTTCACCCCCAAATCAAGATATGAAAAGTTAGGGACATTTAGGGACACCGTTTTGATGACGTGCTCGATAATTTTTGGTGATCCCGGTTTTCGCATTGTCTGAGATCCCACACTGGGCTTGCTGCGTCTGCCACAAGGGCCTCGTGAAAGTCCGTGAAAGATCACTCTTTTTTGCTATGGAACACCCCCATAGGATCCATGGTGATGCTATATATGGTAACATTTACCATCAATATACCCCATTTATGTTAGCATATATACCATACATGGATCCTATGGGCTATGGAACACCAAACATTCAATATCATTCAATCCTCTCCAGACATCTCCAGAAATCTCTGTATGTGCCTCGCCGATTCTCTGAGGATCCAGCAAGAAAGACTGCCAGGAACCATTTTATGGTCATGGTGCAAAAACCGCCTGGTTTTTGGGTGCATGCCATGGACGCAGGAAGTGTCCAACAATATTACCTTTCCTACTTTTTGCCCCCTAGGTCTTCCACAAAACACCACTGGCGACTGGATGGCACGCTGCAAAGTGGCAAGGGAACTTTGGAGCTGCGCATGATCTAATTCAAACCATTGACGGCAACCAATTCTTGCGGGTTTGGGGGTAATTGCCCATGTATATCATACAATAATGTTTATAGAAATACATGTACACAGTAATATCTCATAATCTGGTCATCACTTATACCTACCCCTCTGAAAAATCATGGAGTGAGTTCGTCAGTTGGGATGATGATTATTCCCAACTGAATGGAAAGTCATAAAATTCCATGGTTCCAAAGCACCAATCAGATATCTCATTAACCATTATTAACCACTATTAAACCACTATTAACCAGATAAAAGCCATGTTCCAGTCACCACCAACCAGTTACAGCTGCCGCGCAAACCACCGCTTCACCGGCCTGGCAAACCGTTCCTTCGTTGGTCGTCGCGGGTCCGACGGGTTCGTCCGCTTCGGGCGTGCGCCCCGGGACTTTGAGCCACCGCCATGTCAGGTGGGATAAACAATGAGATTTCAGGATTTTCACTTCATCCACCACATCCAACACCTTGAAATTAACAACCAAAGTGGCTAATTATCTAATTGATGCTGATTCTTGGGTCAGGTTCCTGGTGATTCTTCTCAAAAATAAGGATGTCACCATCCAAGATGCGAATTCAAGCCGCAAACATCGGGAGTTTCATGGGGATAGGGGATGGGTCACCGATGGTGCGGTGAAGTTGACAACACAAGGACCTCCACACAACGAGCCCGCCTGCACGCCTCCTTTGCCAATTTGAGTGTGGCATCTCAATCACTTTTCTGAGATAAATAAGTAATACATATAAATATACATAAAACATCATAAAACGCTTCATTCTTCATCTCGACTCGCAACATGATCAGGTTGAAATGGTGTCATTTTAGATCATTTTAGGATATCTTCCCACACCAGCCATCACTTTCTGGGCAAACTCATTTTGTTGGCCACCAATTGCTCGCTTGACAGTGGTGGAATGGCAAGCCTGGAAAAAGGCTGTCGACCGCCATCAACCGCAGTGGTAACAGTTGACGGTGGTTTCACCCAAAATTGAAGGGTGAATTACACTTGTTTTTCATCATTCATGTATATAGCACAATTTTTTGGGTATTGATACGTGCTCCCCCAACAGGACTGCTAAACAAAAAGGAATGACCCAGCCAATCTGGTCAGCGGAGACATTCAGTATCCAATTTTGTGGGTTCTATGGTACCCTTTCAGAGCCTGCACGTGGAATATGACTATGCATGTCTATGTCTATGTAGACAATGTTGGATGTATATAAACGAAATAGAACTGTTGAGATCAGCAAAATATGGACGAACTGGTTGAGATCAGCAAAATATGGATAAACTTGGAAGCTCTTGGAGGTATTACATACCAACATTTACCAACCAATGCTGCCAGTTGGTTGTTGCTTTCCCAACCGTGCCGCCTCTAAGGGGTGAGCTTTCCAGCCATGGTACCACGCAAAGCACGGGCCTTGTCCGTGGCGCCGTGGTGATGTCATGGCGGACACTTCACCAGCACTAATAGCACTGGTTAGTGGTATACCTACCCCTCTGAAACATATGAGTCAGCTGGGATGATGACATTCCATGACATTCCCAACTGAATGGAAAAATGAATAAAAAAGCTTCCAAACCACCAATCAGAGCAGATTTAAGCTGCAGACAAAGGGAGTGAAGTTTCAATCACACGGATTTGGCCATGAAAAATGCGGATGTACCGGACAAATGAATGTGAATGGGATTTACTGTATATAAGTGGAACTAACTTCAAATGATGGACGTGTTCCATAGTCACAAAGGAGGATAAGCAACTCATCAAAATTGCTATATCCTGAAGGGTCCGAGAAGCAAACACCAAAAAAAGGGCCTAGGGAAGGACCAACCAACATCAGGAGGTTCTGGTCTAACGATAGGAATATCAAAATGAACTCATGAACCTGTTCAACGTCAATAGGGATATTAGAAAATGGTGGAATGTGAGCAACAATCATGGGCTCTTAGGTATGGGTCATTGTTTTTCCTGCATCTGTCTGGCATTCAAACAAATATGCCACCGCAGTCTTGGGTTTCGTTCAAAAATAAACACCCATCCCAATTTACAAACGTTTGCAAACATGAAACAGAGATGTGACGCACAGCATCAAAACAGAAATTGCAGGCTATCACAATGCTATCACCATCCATAAACCAGGTATACAATAACCAGGTGGTATGACCGGCTATAAATCCATAGTAACCAACTATAGCAAGACTTATCTTTAAAGGCCGAAGTCTACCATCTGCGCAAAAAAAACTGAGCCCAGCACATGCTTCTGCACCAAAGCAGGTGTCTCCTCAGCCGTCGGACAACACTACTGGGTGGGTTCATCCCATTTAGTAAGTGGGTTATAACCCCAGTAAAAAAAGTGGGGTAAAGTAGGCTTAATCCACTTTAATCCACTTTAATCCACTTGGGTGAACTAAACTAACTAAGACACTTACTAAGTGGAATGAACCACCAAGTACTGGAGATTTACTCAGCATCACTGGTCTTCTTCCTGCAACTATGACAGAAGTCTCATCCAATCCAGACTCCCTGAGGGCACACCTGGCTGTTTTCAATGCCAGCCAGATATTGAAACACCCAGTGTTAGGACATTCAGAAGTCCAAGTCCTCAACGGAATGTGCTGTTCACAGGACCGCTTTTCCGCTTCGATAGATCCACAAAAATCCAACAAACATGTTTGGTTGACCCCCAATTCATTGGTCCAATCCTCGATTGTCGTCAGAATTCTCTTTTGCTTCCGGCTTTAGTATTCAATGAAACAAAATCTCGTCTTCAACCCCTCAAGCAATTTCCAAATCCTTGGGACCAAATCAACACTTAAATATCATCCAGGGCAGCGCACTGCAGTGGCATCCAGAGCAGTCAGAGCTTCCTTGAGCCTTAGAGAAGTGGGTGACCTGTGAGATTCTCCGCCTCAAGCATGCACTGTGCGCGGTTTCCCCGCTAGGTTTTGATACAGAAGCAGGACCCTGGGACGCGAACCCATCGATCTCTTGCTGTTTCTTCGCCTAGTCATGGAGTAACAACATTTTAGAGATTTGCTACCTGGATTGTTAGTTGGCTGATGGGGTGTTGAATGACTGGTGATAGTCGGGAATATTTGAGAATTGTATAGCTAATTTAATATATTCAATGCTAATTATATGAATTGTATAGGATACAAAAGATCGCACAACTGGTTTAGAATCATATCAAAAACCGCGATGGAAGTGCAATCCACGATCAGCATTTTTTAAATCTGGGTTTTATGCCACTGCTGCGATTCTGTTCCAAACAGTTCAGCGATCGATTCTGTTCCAATCAGTTCAGCGCTCTTGTTCAAGAACGATCTTATTCAAGAACAAGACCAAACAAACGATCGTTGGAATGGGTAGCTGGCAAATAGCTGTCCTGTCAATCGATACCAAGAGGGCCGGTATGGTCTAGTGGATAAGGCTCATCCCTCATGCGTCAGACCCGGTTCAATACCCGGGTGCAACACTAGGCGGACAGGCGGGGCCCTACCCCACCCCTGCAGTTAAGGGGATGAGCTAGGGTGTGGTCCGTAAACCACTAACACTCAATCAATACCAAACCTGTGTTCCACTTTACTTGAAGAATGTTTGGGAAGTGGTAGAATTGCATCATATGACAGTTATGACAAGGGCCGAACTTGGCACACCCCTTTACCCGACATGGTGATCTATCTACTTCTATCGTTGGCACATGTCAAACAGTTTCCCAACTAAGATTGGTCAACCATATTATGCTGTTGACGGTAAACAACCAAAAATAGTTTGATAGTCTTAGTCCTAGTTGCATCTAATTACCATTTTTTCATGGTTGTTTGTTGATGGTAAACAACCATCAACCCCAGGTGTCTTGTTGATGGTCTGGGTTATGTAACATTTTTTTGAAACCCACCACAGCTAACGAGGTTGAGACTCTCACCTGCTTCTCTGCGAAGGACTCTGGGGTCACCAAGCATTCGGCTTCCCTGGGTGTAATGGCAGCCAATGGAAGCACCACTTACACATCAGAACATATGTTTGCGGATTAGTTTTTTTTGTATGTGTTAACCCTATATATATATATATTTCATAGGACAAATCATGACTTCCTGTTAGATAGTCCCTTCAATTATCCCTGCATATCCGACTTGTTTTACATCAACATTATCTGGTTGGTGGTATACCTACCCCTCTGAACAATATGAGTTCGTCAGTTGGGATGACTATTCCCAACTGAATGGAAAAATAAAATTCATGTTCCAAACCACCAACCAGTTATATATCATATGTTTTACCCACATTAACATCCATTAACTATAGTTGGCCAAGACACAAGCTCTTCACGAAGTCCAACAGGGCGCCCATCTCCGTCTCAAGGCCTTGAGATGAAATTGACAGTGCCACTGGTGAGTTGTCACTTCCCATTGGTTAAACTAGAGGTTAAACCCATGGGTTTCATATGGATATATGATTTAATTGGTCAATTCTGATTTTCGTGTTCCAAAAACATACATTTCCCATTGAAATCAAATGAGTGCCCGAGTTTCTATGGGCTCTTCATCATTTTTGTCAATAAACCATGGCAATACAGCTTTGCTTGAGGGAAATTCTATGGCCAGTCTTGCATTTGCTTGCAAAGGCCCAACAAAGAAACAAGTCAAGATTCTTCATCCCTGGATCCATTCCTCCTTTTTTGGATCCAAATGGATCCATTCACATGGACGAAGCCAACGATTCACCAATGATAGGGGCGTCGGCTGAGGTTCTAGCCCTCCTCGTCAGATTTCAGGCCGTTCAGCTCTGAATCCAACCTTCAAAGCTTCGACATGTCGTCAGGATGTGGATCAAAACCATCAACATCAATTTGGGGATATGTATATATATATATAGAATGGGGATATATAATGGGGATATTTTTTTGATGTTTAACATTACTTACTTGTGCTAAACGCAGGCAATTTTCGGGAATGCTCCACAATAACTATTAATAATAATCCCAGCAACCCCCAGCAACCCATCCATTCCCTACGTTTAGCACCAGTAAGACATTCCAACAGACAGTTGCCTAGACCTTCCAAATATCGAGAAACATATGAAACTGTACTCGTCATTTGTGGACTTATCCAGTCTCACGGGTACTTTGAGGGTCTATATAAGTATGTGGAAAGGGTCTTTAAAACTGCCAGGATTGCATGAAATGGTCACATCAACTACCATCAACCATCACAAACCATCATTGCCACTAAATGACGTTTCCAGTCGTACATCATGCTTACCCAGCCTTTGCGCTTCGGAGGTCTTGTAGCTGATGTCCTTCTCCTGAAGCGGGGACAGTGCAACTGGACGACGCAAGACTATGGCCATGGGTCAGTTCACCCTAGTGCACTCTGGTGAAATGAC